GCCCAAGAATTGCCTTTGTAATTAATAAAGTTCTATCTTATCTTACATCCTCTTATCCTGGACAATATAATTGGACAGTATATCAGATCAGGCTCACCTAAAACTGATGATTTTGTGAAAAATAAGCAGATTTGTAAGTTGTACAACAGAGGCATACTTATAAGTAGAGCTATACAGGATTTTTGGCGCCAATGTCAATTTTTAGAGGCTGAAAAAATTCAGGTATTATAATATTGGCTGATAATCTGAAAGGGGTCATTTTTTATTGACTTTCCAGCAATGCATTTCACAAACTAGTTTGCAGCTCACAGCGAAGATGCCACTTGACTCCGCACCACTGTCTGTGAAGTGGACTCTGCTACATGTGCTGCATTGCTGAGAGCTTTATAAAGAATGGAGTCAAAGCTTGTCTGCTAGACAAACATTATGATGAAACTATTCCTGAGTCACCCCAAGCATCTTTTTCAGCATTACGTTGTGTACAAAAAAGTTTTCAGGTGGAACAACATACATTCTTATGTAGATATATCTATTCCCATCAGCTCTCTATATAAATATGCAAGCTGGAGTGTGTGACTATGTTTATATGGCTTGAGTACTTACAGAATAAAGTGCATATTATTGATCATGAGAAGAAATGCATGTGCGTATGTATGTAAACTAGACTCAGTTGTATAAGGCAGATCGCAGTGTTTTCAAAGTTCAAAAGTTCCAATATGTAGCTGCAGATGTAGGAGGCAACCGGGTACCATTTTTAAAAGCAACGGAATACTGTATGTCTAAGTCTGTGATAACACTCTTCCTCGCACACAAACACTCTCTCCATCATTTTCTCGTGGATTATGCTCTTGTATATTTCGGTCTGGTGTAAGGAATTAATTTAGCACGGCTTCTTCAAGCTCCACTGTTCCTTTTCTTCTACTGCTGAGACCAATCAGTCACAGAGTTGTATACGCTGCATCCTCTTATTCTCCCGTCCTATTGGCAGCACATCACCAGGCAAGATAACCCCTCTGTTTCCCTTCACTCTAAACTGGGTCACATTTTCAGTGTGACCAGCCTCCTCTGGCTCTTCGAAAGCTAACGCTCATTAGATAACGCAACCCAAGGACAACACTGAGAATTCTTTCCACGTGTGCTCTTTAGCCATTAACAAACACTCGGTTAAGTAATTTCCTACAAATATTTGATATGCAACAGACTAAAACATTCCTCCTAATGGAAAAGCTGCGAACGCATGACAAAAAGAACAAAACACAGAATGTCGGATGGGAACTCCAGTGTCATTAGCTGCTCTCTCATTTGCTTTCTTGCTCAGGAAGACTTAAATTATTGATCCATTATCCATAAGCAGAAAACTACTTTACATTTGGATAACTGACAAAACTGTAATGCTGGTCTTATAGCCAAATAGCCAATGTCATCCAGAAAGTCCTGCTGTGGAATTAGATATATGATCCTTGGCACGGCGTACGAGGTTACAGAGAGCACTTTGGATGCCAGGGAGGACAGTGAGTGGGACGCACTTGACCGATGAAAGTGACAGCATCCTTTTAAACAAATTATGACTTTTTATACCATATTTATATCCAGGACGTGTTGAGCTTTGAAAGAGGAGATTCAGAGTGGAAGATCACTGAGACTTTTTAAAACACAAGGAGTTATGCTAATTCGCACACACAAGAGATCCGACTAATTTGTCTCTGCATTCCATGTGAGAGCAAGATAAATTGTGAGATTGTCGGGGGACGGGTGTGATATTGGCAGCAGCATTTGCATGCAATTTGTGTAAATACTAAATAAGCTGCCTGATTGGTTGGAAGGTTAATTTAAAACTCATCATTTTGGAATTACATTTGAGCTTTTTATCTTTGTTAAATTGCACTCAGTTTAAAATGTTATTCCGGCTTATCATTTGGGCATTTTCCATTGCAGGAACTTGAGGTTCATTTTAGGACGGTCTGAACCTTTGTGCTGTTTCCGACTCCAAGAACCAGCAGAACCTCATTCAGGGCGGTTTTATGGGGAAAAAAGTCCCCTCTCTCGGGTAGACACTTCTGAGCAGCAACCCTGAAGATTTGCTCAGTATTGATTGGATAAAACCAGAAAGGATCATGCTGACTGGTTAAGGTCAGAGAGGACGACAAGCACCTTTTTTCTGCCTTCTAAATGTTCTCGTCAGGTCTTCTCTTCTCTCACATTGCCATCTTCAACATAAAGTTCATCATACTGGCTAACATAATCACCCTCTATTGTTTCGCTTCCCTCGCTCTCAGAGAACTGGGGTAACATCCAGTAGCTACTATCTGAAATTGTTTGGCACACTCTGAATAAGCATTGCAGTCGACCTGTGAGATCTCACACTGGGGATACTGAACGGGCCAACGACAAGGTCGCTCCAGTAAACATTCCTGCAATCTCATGCTGCGTTCCTGCAGTGGAAAGCCGCCTTATTGGCTTGGTGTTTGGTATGACTGCTAGCAGTGTGTCTAACTGCACAGATGTGAAGCAAAGCCCGGTTTGATTTGACCGGCAACCCCACCCAAACCGGCTCACCTGTCTCGGTGTGTGTGGCTCCTGGTAGCTGGGCAGGATCTTCAGCACCACGCTGCCGCTCGCCTCCTTCAGCATCTCCTGGAGCACTTTGGGATCGTTGCCCACCTCCTTGCCGTTCACCTCCTTGATGATGTCCCCCACGTGGAGCAGGCCCTGCTGGTCGATCATGCCGCCATGGAGGATCCTGGCAATCACCAGCTCGCCGCTCTCCACTCGAAAAGTCACTCCCTGCACACGCATACGCAGCGGGAATATAATCATCATTTGTTATGTGGGAAAACTAGGCTAGAAGACCCGAGAGGACAATCTGGCAAAGTCTTCCGCTGCACGGCAGTTCAAAAGACAAGTGGGGGTGAGGTTAAGTGTTGCAGCAACTGCAAGTAATAAAGCCAGAAATAGTTGAAGCTGAAATCAGTATAATGGCCATTAAATGCTGTCTGCAAAAAAACATCTGCTACCATTAAGAAGACATATTTATCTTTGCTTGTTTGACACCATCCAAGGCTATTAAGGCAAATGCAGTGTTATGACACCTTATTTTTCCCTTTAGGCTCCACTTATGCTTCCTTACTTTTGATCAAATTTGGAAATTGTGACACCAGCGATGAGCTACAGAGACCTGTGAATGACTTCACACACTGCTGGCAGAGAGTTTGAGGGTAGAAAGTGACACACTAGAGCAGCTAGCAAAGTTCTCACTGAGTTCTGTGTATTAATCAACAACATGTCAACCAGATGCAGATAAATCCCTCTCATTTTGTGCTACAAGGCTGTATAAATCTGACTTATTTCTCTGTTAAACAGTGGCACAAAAGGATCTCATTATACAGAGTGCATGCACTGCACCAAAGGCATAAATCATACCATTCACTGAGGAATTTTATCTGTTTACAATTTATAGCAGGGCTCAATCCTGCCTCAGTGATTCAGATGGTGCTTAACTGAGCAGACTTACCAGGTGCTCGCCAGACACCTTGCGAATGCCGACCATCCTGACTGCATCTGGTGGAACAGGCTGGTTGTTGAGGGCCGCGTCCATGAAGGAACAGGGGCTGGGAGGGGGAGTCTCGTAGTTTTTGGACGCCACAGAATCATGGGTCTCCAGGAGGGACTGTTAACGTAATGACAGGCGATAAAACCACTGATGACGATAATATAAATTATGCTATAGTGCAAAAATCAGGTGTTAACGCTCTGGTCTGTGTGAACGCTGCACAGACTGATGGGTATAAACTACTGTAGCTCCAAATTAGTGAAATCTATGCCAGTAGAACATGCATCATTAAGCATGTATATCACACTGAAAAGAAGCCAAGGCTTTAGCCCCAGCACCTGTTAATTAAAGCTACAGTTTGCTGTAAGGAACGAGCTCCAAACCTGGAAGTGGGGTTCCTTCAGGATGCGGACGAGCTCGTCGGCTGCCTGGCTCCTGTGCATGAGCGGGCTGAGCTCCTTGAGGATGTCCTGGACCAGCTCCACGTTGTTCTCACGCACAGCCTCGAGCTTGGGTTCTTCAAACCGCTCATGGGCCTGGGATTTAGCGAGTACAAAAAGGCACGTTACTTAACAAAGAGCCTTAACCTGACTCTATGAAAGCTTTGCCTCTCCTTTATATGCTGTGCTTTTCCACCAGCTGATGAAAACCCGCTGTATTTTCTTTAACTTTCAGCTCCATTAGTGCCACCGTCTTGGCGAGCGGTTAACGCACCTCGCTGCGTTACAATGAAATGTGCACTGACTTCTGCAGGCAAGTTTGTTTCCATTCACAGAGGTAGTAAAGAGCACCAAACAAAAAACAGCAACCACAAACCGAGCCCCTGCTGAGAAAAGCACACAGCCCGTGTTCATAAATCTCGACTCAAAGATAAGAAAAGTAAGCACAAACTTGAGTCAAATCTTGTGCCCTGCAGGTTTTCCAATGTGTGCTGTGAAACATCAATATTTCAGGGGACATTAATTTTTCACTTTCTCCTCTTCTGCCGCCAAGGACAGAGGTGGACACGGCTTCTGCACCTCTGGTCCAGGGTCACAGACACAAAATGAATGACTTTATACTTTCCTCACTGCTTTTGACATTGTCAGATTGTGACTCTAGATGTCACTTTGTGGTATTACTCTTAACATTACATTTAGCTATACTGCAGTGTGCCGTATTGCACTGTACTGTATAAACCACTCAGTGCCCTCAGAACTTATGAGCAGTATTCAAAACATAATGCAAATGTAATCATTTACAGCAACACCACTGGCAAGTGCACACTACGCAATGTTGTATTTGAAGATTCACATTGTCAGGCAATCCCACAGAGGATTTGTCTGCCGGGACCGACTACTACTCTGGCAGCCGTGATGTTTGTTTGCTGAGAATAAGAGAGGAAGAATCCCTGCCGAGAGACAGGATACAGTGCACGTACGCACAAATAAATATGCTGATATTCACACACGCCTGCACGCACACAAATCACTGTAAGTGCACGATACTGCACACGGAGGGATACAAACACAGCGCAAATGCCTCAGCACACAAAGCTGCATCTAAAACACAGGGAGCTCTTCGACCCTGTGCAGCGAGACGGCAGCCGGTAGAATTTTTTTTGTAGCCTCACGGAGCGAGCTTGTATTAGCAGCAGACACTACTTATCTTCCTCCTCTCCACCTAGACGTTTCAGCAGTGAAAGCTAATGAGCGCTGCAAGGCAAAAAGCTATTGATGACAAAGCAGCGTTACAATTATAGTAAGTAAACAGTCTCTTTAATGCCTCTTCACAAGCGTACAGGTAGAACTCAGCCTCTTGGCTTTGACTGTGATGTTCAGCATCATTCAGCAGCATCCCGGCTTGTTTTCATTTCGGTACCACATCCTCCATGTCTATGCAACTGCTCCTATATAAATAAACACAGCACTCGGTGCCAGGTTTTTTAAGACATTTGGATTTTCTTTTGAATCAGATTTACTCCATTGCGGGTTCTAAGTGCTGCATGAGACATCTGAATGTGAACACCAGCTTTTATGCTTGATTTCTGTTTCTGTGCGTTCAGCTAAATGTCAATAGCTTGCAGGAAATGGGGTAATAATTGTCAGAATTTAACCTCTTGGCACATATTAACTAAATTGTTTTGCACAAGCTACTTAGTAAAGTAGCAGGATTCATTATTTTGAATGCCACATGGTGCTATTTTACAAACACACTGGAGTCTCTTTACACAGTCTGAACTGAGGAAACGCGATGACTTGGAAGATAGTTTGAATAGCACGGGGTCCGTACTTAAATGTCTAAAAGCAAGTGGCAGCTCATTGAGTCGCCTTAAACGCCTCAATAGTCTCGATTGCTCTGTTAGATATACAGAGGAGCCGAGCACAGAGTCAGAGCCACAGTCACATCTGATAATCACCAAGCGCTGCAGAGGCATTTTTTGTATTTTAGCTCCTGTTGTCAATATCTGCTCATTGTCAGTCTAATCATCACCCTGATTCATTATGAAACCGTGGGTTGTGCTGATTGCATCACTGTGTCGTGAATGCAGTGCAATCAGCTCGACTGACTGAAGCCACAGGGCCGTACGCGTGCAGGCGGGGACCCTTGCCCCGTCCGTCCAGCTCTCTATTAGCATGTTCTTCAATTCTCTGCGCACTAAGTGAAAGCTTGTTAAGTGTTTATAGATCCACCGTCGGGGTCAAGGGAAACCATCATCTTGGAAATCCTTTTCACATCATTCAGCAGCTTGCATCAGCAAATGAATCTTTTATGAGAATGCCCGTCAATACGCTGGTACCGCCGAGCGCTCTGACGGACGGGCAGCACAAACACCGGTGTCACGCTCCTACAAGCAAACCATCACAGATAGACTGCAGCTTCACTGAGCAACAAGCTGCCGTAGCACTAAGAGCAGTGACATGAGCCAGAGGAGTGTATTATCTGGGTTTTAAGTTCGTATAACACCACCAAATACATCTGTCCCTGCTGTGTCTATTACAAATATGTACTGCATGTCCACCCTCAGCTACTTGTTCCAGCTTCTCTGGGAGAACAGAGAAGGTGAGCAAATTTTAATAGCTATCAGCTCCTCTCCGTGAACAGACGAGCCTCAAACAGCTTCTACCGCTGTGTCCAACTGTAACTGAACCATTTCTGATGGATGTTACCAAAACTAATGAACAGCACAAAGAAAAAGCAAAAAACTTTCAGTACATGATGTAAAGTGCACATATACTTTTTCCTTACACCCTTTTGCAGCGTACTCTTTCCTCCCCTTCTCTTCCTGTTGCTTTGGAAAAAGTCCACATTGTTAAAAGGTATGTGAAACTGTGCTCTTGGCAAGAAGTGGAAGGAGAAGACTTTGACAGGAGAGAAAGAACATAAGACGTAGTGGGATGAAACTCTGAAGAGACTGCGTGCCACAGCTAAGCTCTTTCGCTCTTCTCCCTTCACTTCAAAACGCTAAACTCTGTAACGACGACATCGCTCTCCTCCATGTAAATACTGAGAACTGGCTGGGGTTGGCTTCACAAGAGGAACGCCGAGAAATGTTTAAGTTTCTTCCTCTGCGCAAAAAGTTTGGAAGAAATCAGTTTGATCATCATGCAGAAGTGTTGGCTGTATTGATGGAAAACATTTTTTAAACCAGTCTAGACAACAAAACACTGCCGGCCATGTCTACTTTCTGTGGGATGAAGACATGACATCCTTAGAGTTTACAAGCTTACTTGCATGCGGGAGAAGCTTTAGTCCAAAGTCTGTACAAATAGAAGGTGGATTTTTACAATTTTCTTATTTATTCTTACAGACTGGACAACAACAGAACAATTTTATTCCTTCCTGAGTGCTGTAATATTTGTTTTTAAGCATAACTGTGCTGAACTACAGGGTTAAGATGATCCTTTATTATACTCATTATTTTCCTAAACTACTAGAAACTCAGTGTGAAACATTGAACTCATGTCAACAAGTGAAAAACCAACAAGACTATTAGAAACACACCTAAATATTTTATCATTTAAAGCCAGAGTGTTTCTCTCTCTCAAGCCAACACAGAGACACTATTCCAGGCTTTTATTACCTACAGGACTATTGTAATGCTCCGCTATCTGCTCTCACCAAGAAGAATATGTTTCCACTAGAACGGCTTCGAAGCTCAGCTGTAAGTGTGATGACTACGACCAGACAGTCATTTTAAAGTCTCTGCAGCAGCTGCTTTAGAACAGATTTTAGGATCCTTTTGTTGATTTATTAAACTCTTAATGGTCAGATTTGTTTTTGCCTCATGAAGCTTCCTGAACCCTCAGGTCTTCTGGTGGCGGCCTTTTAATTACACCAAAAGTCAGAACCAAAACCTACAGTGATGCATTCTTCTGTTGTTCTGGCTTTCCTAAAGGCCTGAGGGCAGAAGAGAACGTTGATATTTTTAACAGCAAACTCAACATCTAACTTTTTAGTCTGGCTTCTAATTGAGTTTATTTTTTATTTATTGCATTTTTTTTTTGTCTATTTATTTCTACATTTTAGTCTGTTTTACTTACTTCGACCTCGCTTTTTGTTTTATATTTGTCTTATTCTGCTATTCTGAATTTTTAACCTATGATGCCTCTGGTGTTTTTATTTATTTATTGCATTTATTGCATTGTGGGTTTGGGTTTTTTCCCCCTTTTGTTCTGTAAAGCACTTTGTGTTGCTTTCTATTTGTATGAAAAATGTTATACAAACAAAGTCTGACTCACCGGTTGATATATGGGATCACTGTATGGGGATTACAAGCATAAAATTTTGTCACATTGACATCAGTGGTGCCTCTTCTCCTTGTACTTGGCACTTACCCCAAAATCTCATTACTCATCGACATGACTAATAGGTAGCAGGCAGATGAGTGTGTCCTGTAAGTCTGTCAGAGAGAGTGGAGCTGGTCAGAGCAGAGGACAGCTGTCTCAGCTTCAACACACAGTATATCATTTTGGCATCTCTCAGTCAAAACATTTTAAAACTCTTTATCATTTGATGATGTTGTTTAGTGGGGTGGGATCATGAGAGCTGATGTCTTAACTATCACTGCTGAAAAAAAATCTATCTGATGTGCCTCAGGCAGCAACCATGTTCATGGATGAAGTCATGTATTAAAGTTTCACTCGCATTAAGTTCAGTCATGTATGTAATTTCATTCTAATAAAATAGCTGCAACTGTTAACCGCAGACTTACCATTCAACTAGAGCTCCTACAGTTGTACAGTTTCATTTAGCTTTTATCCAAAGCGACGTAGCTAATGGTTTGTGGTGATGTAGCTCTGCGCTCTTATCTGAAGTCAAATCATCATCATGATCCATTACAAGTGAGCATTACCAACAGCAGGGACGCTTTGCTCAGAACGGTGGCTTAGTCAGTCAGGACATTGGTTGTTATAATTCGAGTAGGTTGGGTCAGACAACAGAGTTGATCCAATTTGGCACCAACCTTTAAATTTTCTAGGCTTGAACGTTGTTGGAAACATTTGTGATAACGTAAGTCAAGAAGTCATCAAAATATACGCCGTCGCCCAAAAAGTTGGAATAATTTTAGTTTTCAGACACATTTGTCTTTTTATTGCTGTTTCTACACATCAGTAACCACTTCTGACCAATGATTACATACTGATTCCCAGTTACCAGGTGAAACTAATTCTGGCTTTGGGATCTGACCAAAGAGTGGGACGTCCTGCCTGTTGACACCATCAACAAGCTTGTGGACAGGATGCCACGATGTCTTAACGCATTGATCCGTGTCACAGGTGGCCAGACTCAATATCAGTGATATTTGAAAGAGTCATATTCAAATATTAAATATGTTTCCTGTTATATGACCAAGGTTGGAAAACTGAAACAAAACCCTTAATCCTATTGTTCAACACCCCCAATTTAGTTTAAGCCTGAAAACACAGTTTGCAAAAGTCAATTGTAGTTAAATCATTTCATTACAAGAGGTAAAAGATATATTTTATTTCAACTTCATGGGCAGCTGTGTATATAACACAGATTTTGTCATTTTACTGTGAAAATGTTTTGCCTTTAAGTCTGAGCTGAATACAATGACTTCCATTATTATTGACTTTTCACAATAATGAAAATAATCTCAAACTACTCCCAAACACAGAGAGAACCTACCAAAAGCCCAGAGAATGTAAAGAAGCCAGTTATTTTCAATTTAATGTTTGTGTAAAACCAAATTAAGATCCACATCTGAAGCATTCAAACAAGTATTTGGAACGAATAAATGTAAAAAGCTAATGGCTGCCATTCATTTCTTCATCTTTCATTGATCATGGCGGTTGCTGCTCCATCTACACTTGTCAAGCTGTCAAACGTGATGAATGTGCTGCTCTCTGGCGGCTCTGATTGGTTATAGAAATGTTACATTGCCTTGTTAGAATGACTGACAGGTGGGAAACTGTGGAAATGTTAACGGTCCTATAAAAAGAGAAATGTCTGTATCTTCTTATACGCTGAGGCAGATAAAAGCCTTTCATGTCTTTTTGTGCAATTTTGTGTAATTTTGGCAATCATCCAACCTGCACTATCATAGACAGGCTGCAGGTTGACCAAGCAACAAGGTACAGTGGAGCTGACAGCAGCTACATGAGCCAGAAGTGTGTATTAACCTGGTTTAAGTTTGTACGACAGCATCAGCCTCTGTCCCTGCTGTGCCTGTTACATGTACACCATGGAGCACGTCCATCCTCATTTACCTTTACCAGCTTCTCTACAAGTGGGAGAGAGGAGGAGTTTGACCTTCAAAATCAAATCAAACACATCAAACCGTTGAGAAATTTACCAGAAATCATGCTGTTGATAATACTGAGCAGCGAAGCGAGGGGAGGCGCTGTTGGCCTCTGCACATTTGGGCTTTCATCTGCCCATCCAGCATGACAGTGAGTGAAAATAAAATACCAGATGTCTCTTTTAATTTGCATTTTCAACTTATGAGAAAACAATGAAGCAAGACCATTGAAATGGAAATGTGATTGCACTTGATGAATGTAAGCTGTCTTTTTAGGATAATTACTGCAAGACGGAATTTAAATTTCAAATGTAATAATGGCTGCTAAAAGTTTCCATTTTTCTAATGTAATTTTAATAAAGCTTCTCACAACTCAGTGAAAACATAATGGTTTGTGTTCACTGTTAATGCAAGAAGCTCGTGCAAATGATGATACTCGCATAAAATGTTAATGTGAAGCCAAAGATGCAAAACATCGGTTTACAATATTCATTAATATCATTAATTTGCATGCATACAAAGTGGCACACAGCTTAATATAACCAGGCTATATGGCTAGGAAGCAACTGATTAAAGCTGAATTCTTTTCTTATCGGCTTCTACATTAAGTTAGATACATACATCAGTAACACAAATAAATGAGTAAATAAAAAATCTGTTAAAAAATTTAATAACAAGGATGTCAGAAAAAATCCTTTAAAAAATGTATAAAATTGTAGCATTCAAAACTGTACAAACTCTGAAAATAACAGCAAATTTCTATGAGATAAGATTTTTTTTCTCCTGATTTAAATACATTAAAACTGTGGCCACACTTTGTAAAGAACAAATTACTATTTGCAAAAATCCAAATTAATACTTTTCCTCTGTTATTGGATATTATCTATAATTTAACACAACAGAAAACATCAGTTTAAAAAAGATTATTTAAATGCAGTAAAAAAAAAATCCCTTGTGTAGGAAACAATCACCAACCAGCACAGAGCTCGCTGGACAAATGATGGGTTGGTCACATAAAGGAATATAACGATTTTCAGAGCTCGTCAGCACTAAGACAGAGACCCTGTTGGACTCTTATCTCCTATAAATGCTGAAAAAAGTGACAGTTTAATGACTGTGTTGCAGTTTTTATAGATCAAAATGGCGTAAATAAGTAGAGGCTGTGTTTTATTCGGACAGCTGGAATTGATTAATGCTTCCTCTGTATCGTTTATTGTTCAAACTTGGTGTGTTGCTCGCATTTAGCGTTGGGTCTAATTTCTTTGCAACAGCGTCGTGTTTATTTTATTGCACAGCAAAGCTATATTTGTTAAGCTGCTAGCTGGTGCCAGTAACCAAGCGTAGGCTGCTATGGTTGTGAGAGTGGAATATGTTGCACATGTTGCCTGCCAGTAGATAAACAGTGTTCAAATCATGGTACTTCATCATCTCTGACTTTAAATACTTAATGTATCATGTAATGAGCCTTAGATTCTGTAGAGGGGAGAAGTTTGGGATATGTCTCCCTCAAGATTGAGAAAGAGTGTCCCTGAAAATATAAACACATGTGAGGTTACTTCTCCAAACAAGAGGCACAACAGAGAGTCTAACTGAATAATATTTTATTATATCTCAAATTGTCACTTGGTGCTTGAATTTTGTGTTTTTCTTAACATGAATAAAGACACTTCCACGATAAACTGATGCAGGAAATGCACAAACTGAGGCAATAAATGAAGCATTTGATGATCAAAATTCAAACGAAACCAACGAATAGAAAGCTTCAAACAGACCAGTGGTTGCTATTGGCTGATTAATTGGTGATTGGCCCCAAATTCAGTCGAGGAGCTCCCTCAATTAAAACACACTTCAGCATGCAGTATACACAGTTTATGTTATTCTCACCACTGGGCTCTCCATGATGCCTTTGAGGAAGATGAGGTCCAAGTCATTGGCAGTTGTGGAGCTCGTGCTGTCACTCAGTGTGTCCAGCGCCTGATGCATGGCTACGTGTACAGAAAAAAAGGAGAAAAAACAGAGTTCATATTCCACAGTTACCCGTGAGAAACAGACCGAGTCGTACATTTACAGTAGTACGTGGCTGACTGAGAGGAGAAGTGAGCAGGAGGCAGAAGGACGAGGACGAGGAGGAGGAGGAGGAGGAGGAGGAAGAGGAGAGGGAGCTGCCTCGCATCCTTTCTCAAGCAATTTCACCTCTGTCAGTCACTCTGCGCTTAAGTCTGTCAGAAGCGACAGTATCTGTCTCTCACAACTCCCAACTTCCTGCCTCTCTCTCCTACGCACATGTTCATACGAACACGAAAACAAACACGCGGCTTAACAACAAGGAAGCAGCGGAGAGAATCAACATTGTTCACATGTCCTCGGAGCTTCAGTAAAAAAAAACAGCTGGACTTTTCTTTTCCTCTCTTTTCACTCCGAGGTTACCGTGACCTCAGCGACGTATCGTTTACAGAAGCTCAACTGGACTAGATTTTAACAAGTCATAAATTTGCTGGACGGATTTTGAAAAGATTTTTCTGCTTCACGGAGCAGCCTCAGTGTTAAACCTGTGAGGAAAACACACGCGTGTTTGCAACTCTATCTCCAAGATGCAAACTGCGACATCTCGACAGGACGCTCAATCAATCAGGAGCTGCAGGGTGACGTCAGCAGTTCGATGAAGGTCAGAGAAGGTTCAGTGTAGCTTCACTCCTGACTCCTTAGATTATGAGTCATTAAGGCACCAAACACACTGACATCACCTCGCAGCAGGCATTAATCACCGCACACACGAGTGTCAGAAGAGTGGGCATTTTGATTCACCGGGAACATTCGTCTGCTGTTATAGACACAGAGGCTTTTGTTGTCTAAGCTAAAAATACAACAGAGGTTCTTAATGTTGGGCTCCACTACGGATCCTACAAACAACTTCAGATGCCCCGTCTCCTAAAAAAAAAAGGGCATATAGAGCAGTCCAGTCCAATTAGAGAGCTTCTAATTAATTTTCCTTTCTGTGATTTCCTTCCGAGCACATTTTAAACATGCATCGTCTCCACAAAGGGAAATGACAGATGTACTCTTCGTAGGTTTAATAAAGTAATGCTGACCTACAATAATCCACAATGACAAAGGAGGAGCTGCTCACAACTGGAGATGGAGGTGTGACGGCTCATTAAAGGAATAAATCCCTGGAAAAGTCGACCAGCTTCATCTGCTTTATTTGTTATTGGCAGTAGTGCTGTTTAATTGCTGCCTGTTTACTGTCAGTCGTATCAAGTTCTCTGACTTGTTCTGCTGTGTACTACGGCTACAAAAGTACAATCTCCACATCAGCTGTGTATACTTTAGAGCATTAGCTTATGTTATGGATGTATGACATATCTGATGACAGAACATACATCGCAGTGCTGCAGCGGAGATTTAAAGTAGCTGCTCTGAACATGATAGAACTTTTTTTTCTCAAACACAATTGGCATAACATTGCTATTCAGAGTCAGTCTGTATTACTACTTATACTCTATATGCAGCATTTACAGTAGCTGTTGATGCTGATGGTGGTTGAATAGCACATGTATGTTCCAGTTAATTCGCAAACCATTTATTATTTAAAACAACAACAAAGTAAAGAAAGCTGTTCTCTGTTTCTAAACCAAAAATGAAAAAACAAAAAGTTTCAGGTGTCAAAATCAAAAAAACAAAAATCCAAAAACTGTCTGCTTTTAGGGTTTTTTTTGTTTGTTTGTTGTTGTTTTTTTTGCAGTTTTAAAAATGAAAAGCAAGAAAAGCAAACTCAAGAAAAAAAAAGTTTTTTGTTTTTTTTTGTGAATACCTTGTTAATGAATCTCTCATTTGGGATAGATGATAGAAGGACCGAAAGCGGAAGTGAAATGTAAAAATGTCTAAACAAAAGCCAAGAGAATAGACGGGACGAAAAAATTAAGCATGCATGACATCTTTACAAGCGCCCTTTTCCTGAAAGCAAGTTTAGTAGAAACCCAGAGAAAGAGTTAACCTAAAACTCTCTCAGTTACCATTCGAACTGTTCTGTGAACCCTACCTGCCTGCTGCCTGCTTTCCTTCAACAAACTCTCCAACATCTCCTCTCCTGTAGAACCTGAAAAGGCTGCCTGATACATCCTACCTGAAACTTCACGTCCCAGGAGCTCTAAATGCATCACAAACAATAGATCGTGCTATATTATAGCTAAACGTGACCATTAGCTCGATCTTGTTGCAGACAAGAAGGTCAACAATAATTTGGGAGCATGTGGGGACGTCTGCTGGTCACTGCAGACTATTTTGGACAACACTGTCTTCTATCGCTGCCCTGCTACAGATCCTAACACTTCTATAGAAAAGTCATTCTATTATCTTGGCTGTAATTTAACCATTTTTACACGTCGACACATCCGCTGTTCAATCATCTGCCCCAAATGAGGAATTTTTTAAAGAAATTGGTCAAAACTAAAAACTGGAGGGTTTCTGAGTTTGGTTTTCTTGGTTTTCATTTGGAAACAAAAAAATAAAAACACTTCCTGTTTTATACACAAACTGATGTATACATAACTTCCAAAATGAATAAAGAGATAAAAAATTGCCAAAAAAACACAAAAATGGTCAGTGTTTGATTGGTTTTCAATTTTTCTTTAGTCTGACAGCGTAAATGTTTTTTCTGCTGGTTTTTTTTTTTTTAAGTAAAAACATACTAATGTTTGTTTGTTTTTTTTACATTGTTGAGTTCCAAATAAATTACAGATTGTCTGACACCATGTTTAACCTCTTAAGACCTGTCGTCCACATGCTTGGACGTCACACTTTGGGTTAAATTACCACAGTAGTTAATTTTTTTTAATGTATTTTTTATTTGCATTGTTTCATTATTATTATTTTATCATTGTTATTTATTTATTTATTATTTTTATAGTTTTAAATATATTTTTTTTTAATCTATTTTTATTGTCTTTATTTTTTTATTTTTTTAAACAAAAAATAAAAAATGAGAAATAAAAAATGTATATTAAACAAGAGCTCGGGTCTTAAGAGGTTAAATAATGTATGTTCCAGTACGAATCGCATTTTGTCCTTCATCCAACTGAGCTGGCTTTTAGCTGAGGTGGTTCAGGCACATAGGATGTGGGTGTGAGCGGTCTGAGCAGCGAGTTCCTGGTTTGTTTCCCAGCTGGAGACTATTTTCTGTTTGTCATTCTGTTGCTCTCTTTTCCCACATTGTCTGTCTCTCTTCACTGCCACCATAAAAAACAAAACAATAAAGAAACATGAAACAATAAGTAAAGTTCTCACTGAGCCGAAGAATACCATTTACTGGAAGACTTCACTTTTTTTTTCTATCCTCTAACCCAGAGGAGCATGATTTTATTCAGCACTTTCATTGATGTGCAGCCTGAAGCTGCTCTATTGTCAATAAACAACAAAATTACTTTATCGACTCAAAGAGACTCCAACTCCAACAGAAAATGCTCTCTAATCCTCTGAGAATGATCCTTTTGATCACCAAATTCAAGCAGGGACGCTCAATATATCGGTGGCAGACATGCTATCAAGAAAACGTAATTATTGTAATTATTCAAATTAGGGAATTTTAGCAAATTGTTATGCGCGAACAGTAAGTGAACACTAATTACATATAACAGTTCAGCGTAATTAGCTACATAATTTAAAGTTATCTGAATTTTCATGGACTTTGATACTGAAGCTGCACTTAACCAACAGCACATGAAGAGCAGCAGGTCTGTTTGTGTCAGCAGAACGGGAGGTTGACAGAGGAGAGAACAAATGATGCCACTGGGCTGTTAGCCAGTTTATTAAGTCAAGGGCTTCAGGGAACCAGTTATTATTTCAACAGTATGTAAAGTTACTCTAATGCCGTTATTAGCTTATGCAGCGAGTGAGAAATGAAATGGAAAACCCTTGATGGGATGTGGAGGTTTTTGTATGCTGCTGGGGGCATTTTGTTGCCATGGTCCAGTTGTCCCTTTAGAGGCTTGAGTCACTGTAGATCAGGTCTGAGATGATCTAAATGATCACCTTTATTCTATGATGAAACATTTCTGATGGAAGACACGTCATTGAGGATGACAGTGTCTCCATAGATAGGCCATGAGGGGTCGCTGAATGGTTTTATAAGAATGATGTGGATCGTATGTCCTTCACCATCACCACAGCTCAACTCACATTACATTTATGGGAGCTTTTAGGTCAACCTGCTCTACCACTAGTGTCTCCACTCCACTGGTGTGTTTTGATGTGTAGTGGTCTGGAAGAGATTAAAAATGAGCTAAACCGTCTCATAACTGGTCTGAAATGGACTTTGTAATTCACTGAAATGTATGGATTCAATGGCAGTGGTGTTAATGTTTGTTTTTAAATTCACTCTGTCGGTGTTTCTTGCCTCCTATCATGTCTTCAGGCTGGTTGGTTTTACACTTCATGAGATTAGCAAAGACATTTGGCCAGACCTTTATGGAACTCCTTAATGGGATTCTTTCCCAGTTGATGGGAATCTGCGTTATGTTTCCAGTGATACGACGGCTACTTCTATCAAATGCACTCCAGATGTTTCTGAGCCATTTAAAAAAAAAAAAATGCCTACATTCTTGGACCTAGGTTGGCTTTTGTACATCTGAGGTTGTATCCATTTGTAGCCCTGTTGGCATCAAAACACCACATGAGTGAATATCTTTTAGAAGAATGGTGCTCATTCCTGCAGCAGACATCAAGAGAATTTGACAATTAATCCAAGATGCATTGAAGCTATTCTGGCAGCACGTTGTAGCCTGTTATCTAACTTTATGTTGGCTTTTCTTTTAACCTCTGAACCTTGCTGGTGGGTTTTAAAAGGCATGTGATTGGGAAAAAATCTAAATCTAAGCAAAACAAATTGATATTTTATCAAAATCACTCTATTCTAAATTTCTCATTCAAAAAATTGCAAGAAATAAATCATGTGGACAAACCAAACTCAACCAAAAGAATCCATACTCCT